CGGGAAGATCCAGCATAATCCAGATACAGCGATTTTGACAGTACAAGTTTGTCCCCATTTCTGATTGTTGCTTGGGTTGGGATGGCCTTTTACAAATCCTAATTATTTCTTTTCAATAATTAAGTTTAACACCAAACCCTAATACTAATATATATAATTATATATACAATACAATAAACGATATATGTGACAGTGCCAGGGCTTTAATTCTTGATCGACAAACTGGTCATGATGCACAAAATAAAACAATATTATTCAAGGTTAGTTGTTTTAAGTGAGCTTAAATTAACTCAACAGTCCACGTGATTAAGATCCGATTGCCCTTTTATTTGGGGTTACTTTAACTAATTAATTTTGGGGGAGGCACGAAGCATGAACTGTTCGACATGAACCTTATTGGTTACTTAATCAAATCAATTAATTTATTAATTAATATGGAAATACTCTATTCACTCTCTGCATACGTGCAGTCTAAGATGCAAACTGGATGCTTTTAACCTAGTTGCATAAACAAATGGTTAGTTCAATAAACAAGAACAAAAAAACAAGTTTTATCTCACTAAGTGATGTCGACTGTATGAACCCTAGAACATCATGATTGTACTTAGTTTTACGTCAAGTCTTCTATTAGTTCCAAGTACTCTATATAATTTCTTAAAGTTTTTGTATAAATCTTGTTAGATCTTCCCATACTCCTTTTGTTCTGAGTTTGCTTCTTATAGTAAAATCTTGTAACTGAAGCATCTGTAAGTCTTTAATTTTTGTATCCAAATCATCTTATTTTTCATAAATAAGAAAACAAATAATCATGCAAGTTTAATAATTTTATTATTAAAAACTTGGGGAAGCTGGCATCGGTGTTAGCTTTTTGTCGTCTTTGACGGGAATTCATGAGCAACTTCATCAATACGGCCCGGCCGGCCTAAATTAAAAAGGTTAATATTAGGAGACTAAATTTGTAGGTTAAAATTTGAAAATTAAGAGACATATAAGTTAATGATTGATTTATCATTTAAACGTTAATAAATGTGCTCATTTCTATTTATGATACATCGTTTAGTTTGCAAATTTAATTTTTTTAAATTACCCAATTAAAAATAAGGGCAAGTAGTAATCAAAGTATTTTTTTAACTAATCTTAATAACCGAACTACTTTGAACATGACACCCTTGATTATTGAATAAGGTAGAGGAAAAAGAGCCCCGATACAAGAAGGGCTTGTGCTTTCTCTTTCTCTTTTTTATTTTTTGACTCATTGAAAATTTATCAGTAACACAGGTGTTTACAATTTTTTCGATAAGGTTGATATTTTCATGGAAATATAAAAAAAAAAATTAGAGAAAGATAGGAAAATGAGGGGTGAAGTCTAAACTTTAGCTCATACAGGAAAACTCTTAAGTTTAATCTAAATTATACGTATATAAAGTTTCATTTTAAATTTCCATCATTTTCATTGAAAGCAACCGATATCAATATCGGTATTTGATATAACCATTGATATTTTCACAAATTGCATATTGATATTTTCACCGATACTAATATTTTAAACACTGATTAACACTTAAAAACAGCCATGTTGCACTTATATGGAGTGTGACATGACTTTAGCGAGAAATTGTCTTCTCGTTAAATAAGTGTATCTTGTAGTATCAGTAGCTATTCTCAAATATTATTACGCATTAGAATTCAAAAGTATAGAAGAAAACTATTTCAACGCTTAAATACTTTCTTCACATCTGATTTCGCACACGTCAAGGTGTTATTTAAACAAGACAACAATGTCAAACAGCATATACAAGCAAGTGCGAGGAAATTCAAAATATGGCAAATCCACCAAAACATTAGTCTTTGTTGACAATTCATCAGCCTTGTCTCTCTTACCTTCCAAGAAAATTCAAAAAATATAAAGTTGTATTCTCCTTCTGAAGTCTTAAAGTCCAAAGTCTAACGCCAAACGTATCACCCGGGAATAATCTTTTCTTTAATTAAATTAACTTTGTATTGGCGGACTGGGGTCTTATATTTTCTAGTTGGACGTTGGAAAAATGTTATCGGGACAGAGATTGTCCAAATAAATAAAATAATAAAAACAATAATGACAAAATAATAAAACTATAACAAGTAGCGGATTCAGGATTTAAATTTTGATGGTCCTAATGTTGAACACAAGTTTTATAGATAGGAACAAAATGCAAAGCGAGCAAAATAAAATTATGTTTATTCAAGTGGCGAACTTATTGTGTACATGTTAATAGATAAATGCATATATCGAAACAATCTGATGAGTAATATAGAGAGAATTTGTCAAACGTTGTCGACGCAACCTGTTGAGATATATCTAGCATGGGTTACATCCAACATTTAATAGTGCAAGAAAGGGATTCGTATTAAATATTCAGAAGGTTCTAAAAAGACCTTTACATGTATATGTTTCGAACTTAAGTGATTTTAAGATCATCTTAGTCCCTATTTCCATCCGTCTCTAACTGTAACATCATTAGTCCAATCTTATCTTTATCTTATGTGGTGTATGCGTTTGGCCAGAAATCAACTCTTGCTCAACTTGAACAATTAGCTATACGTCGATCGCAAGAAAGACACCCAAAACCCTAGAAACATTAAATAAGCAGGTAAATTGGGTTACGCCTTGCCGCCATCAAAAAAGTTGTATCCGCGTGACTTGAGCTGACAAGTTAACGTGCCATACGTGACAACAATAAAACTTTTTTATGAGATCCACCGTTGATGTGCATACAGATGAAATTTGTAAACGCAACAGTCTGATTGTCTTTACCAGTAATTTAATTATTAAAGTTTACATATAATCCCACAAATATCAATTGCGTCATTAACAGTGATGAGTTATCATGGGATTATAAGTTATTTATAATTTCACCAACTTCAAAATTCTACATATATTTGTAATTTTGTACGTATATTTCATTTGACCTTATACAACAAATTAAGTTACAACCTCCTTTTACTATAGCTACTTCTTTTTCTAATTTTTTTTATCATCCATGTCTTTTTTTCTTTCTCTTTTTGTGTGTGACTTTATTGTGCACACCAAATGCTCGATCAAATGCTCAATTGACAAGTCTCGACGGTCTTCAATATTGCTCTACAATTTCCTGCAACCCACCCTTGACAAGCCTCTATATATCATAGTAGTTGTTCTAATGTGTTAGCATAAACCTTCAACAAATGTTTCTACCATGCCAAATATTAAAATTGTAATATATATCTTAGAACTGGACTTTGGCTGCTTACAACCAATCACGGCTGGACATGTGTTCAAGTTTTTATTTTTTGATCAAAACTTAGACACGTGTCCAACCGTGATTGATTGTAAGCAGCTACTGCTGATCTGTTCAGCAACGAAGTTCTATCCCATATCTTATACATTTTAGGCCTTCTATAATACACCAAAAAAGTAAGTATGATATATATTGGACTTGTAAAAAAATTGTTCCTATAGTAAATTGAAAAATTTGAGTGTGAGACGTCGAGCTAAATCCAATATATTAAAATTATGTGTGCGATACTTATAAATTAATTAACAATAGTATTGTAAGTATCAAACTCAAACAATCTAATTCATATATCTAATTAAGGTAATGCTAAGTAGATTAAATTTATAAAACTAAATGATATATCACTATTAGAAAATAAATACGTTAATTAATACTTAAGCAATAATATAATCATCAACTTTTATGTTATTTAGTTTACATCTTCCTAGCATTACCCAAGTATTAAACGCAATCAAATTATTAAAGGGTTGGTACTGGTAAAGTAACAATTCTTTTGTCATCTACATTGGTCGGTTAGTTGTCTTAAAATTCGGGACCATTAAGTTAAAGAGATCCGCCACTTGTACCACCCGCCTCGGGCATGAATCTGCAGCTCTGTCTTTATCAGACCGTTGAAATTAGCTCTTTGTTGGTAAGTCCTCCACTCACTCATTTATTATTACACAAAAATGTACAGTAATTTTCTAATTTAGCCTAATAAAAAATGTTAAGTATTCTTTTATTTTTTAAAACTGAAAAAAAATTAATAACACGTCTATTATTCTATAAAATAATTATACATTTGTTAAAAAAATATTAGAAAAATTAAAAATTGAATACTCACCCGTAAGTACAAGTACCATCCAAAGAAAAATGCTAAAGGCTAAATGTGCAGAATAATTTTTTTAAACCAACAAGAACATAAAAATTGTTGATTTTATTTTTTAAACGTTAAATAACATACTTAATTTTTTTATTAGATATGATATATTATTTAACTTACAAATTTAATTTACTTAATATTACTCATATCCAACCTTAGATATGATATATTATTTCATTTACAAATTTAATCTACTTAATATTATTCGTATCGAACCACAACAAGTGGTCTAATGATAAAAACACAGATTGCGACTCTCTAATAAACAAAAAAATATGTTTGACCAAAAAAAAAAAATTTCAGATTCAATAGTCAAACTGATAAGTCTACTTGATTGTTACTGAGTAAAATTTCCTATAACCTCTCAAGATTCAAAAAAATTACATAACCATAACTTGCCGACCATTCTTTAAAAAAAATAAAATAAAAAGCGTTACTCTTATCGTAATGAATTAGAATTCTACTCCCTCCAGACACTACTGACCACTGACATTACCAATTACTCTCTCTCTCTCTCTCTCTCCCCTAACTGCCGTTGTCAGTTTCTTTTGGGTCCTCGAGATATCTTCCTCCTCAATTACCAACCGCTCGTGTTCTCGACAACACCAAAAGCCAATCCAACGGTCCGATGCATTCATATCTCCCCTCTATACAGCACCTTTACCATTTAATAATATTATTTTTAGATAAATTATATTTTAATTAACTTATGGTTTCCCAAGCATCTTTTCCCTCTAACACAACACCAAAAAAATCATTAAAATATTCCTCGGCTTCCATGTTTCACTCATTTCGCGAGCCCTTTTGACCCGACCATTACTTTTACTCCATCTCTATATAAACACTTCCCATCCCCTTCTCTCTCTCATCAAAACCCTTTTCTTCCTCCTAGTTTCCTCCTCTCTCTTGCAAGCTATTTTCTTGCTCTTAACCCTCTTTCTGCAAATGGCTATCGCCGATCAAACTCCGGCAAAACAGCAAAGGGATGAAACCCTAACCCTCGTTGACGACAGTGTTCGTCAAGCTCCCTCTAAACGCCAAAGGGACGAAACCCTCACCCTAGCTGAGGATTCCGTTGATCTCAAGCGTCAGAAACCTTATACCGACATACTTTCTCTCCTCGACGAAGAAGAAGTAGAACCTCCGGAAGATTTGTCCTCTTTAATCACAACCCTGCAGCAAGAAATCTCACCTGAACCTCTCAACACATTCCCCAGCTCCGAAACCCTAGCTGCCGAGTCGGCTCTAGAAGGCTATGCCTCGTCTTCCTCTGGCTCTTCCACTCCTACTTCTTCCAATGCGTGTTTTTTGAAAGAGGATGAGTGCGAGAGGGTTATGAGACATCTTCTAGAAGCTTCCGACGACGAGCTTGGGATTCCGCAGAGGGAGGCTGACGGGTCCGATGAAGTGGAGGGTGATGGGTTTAAATTCGACGGTCTGGATGGGTTTTCATTTGGTGATGGGTTGTGGGAGCTTGAAGACGAAGCGGCCAACTACTATACCTTGGTGCAATCTGAACTGTTTATGTAGTTCACTGATTAGCGCGTGGAGTGGACCGGTGGAGGGTTAAAAATGCGAAGGAATTATATATTAGGGGAGTTTGGAGGAACAAAAAAGATGTTTTTGAAGGTGTTAAAAGAGGGACAATTAGGGAAAATGGAGAGAATTTTTAATTTTCATTTTGGTCCCTCTTCTTTTGTAAAAATACCAAGCGTTCTCTGCCACTTATTAGGAGATTAACTTGTAGAAGGGAAAAAGTGATTTAAAATTCATGAAATTATTTTAACACCTGTTGTTTTCAGTATGTTTATTTTTTGTAGTGTACCCATTTTGTCCTTGCATTAAATACTTTACGCAGTCGGACTAAACCTTGCTAACGCAGTTGGACTAAACCTTGCTAAGGGTAAATTTGCCCTTCTATAAACACAAAATTTCCTAAATTTGTAAAGAAGTGTTATTAACATTTTAAAATTCTTACTCTTCACTTCTTAAAAGGGTATTTTTCTTTTTAAATATAAAAAAATTAAAATACAATATAAGAAATTTAAAACGTCAATATCAATTTTCTATTTTAGTTCCTCGCTTATTTATTAAAGATCAATGTTTGACTGGGGAAGAACAATGTTTACTACTAGAAAATGAGTAAGAGTAACTCAAAATTCTTTCAAATTAGAGAACTTTGTGATGGTTCTCTACAAAAAACCCTAAACTTCATCCCCTTCCTGCCGCCGGCCTCTGGCTTCTGCTCGGGGTCGGTGGCAGCTAACTTTGAAGCTTGTTTTCCTCCTCCTCTTCTCGATCCTTCCCTTCTTACCCAGCTCCTGCGATGGCCCCCTTTTTCGTCCTTCACCTGGGGATCTACACACCTTCTTCGGAAGGCGTGGATGAAGCTCCATCTATGGGCTTTTTGTCTTTCCCCGTACCTGCGGTGGCCCCGTTTCCCTCCAAGGAACAGTGGAGCAACCCACCATCTACCGGTGGTGTGGATGGAGTATTATCTCCGGGTTATTTTCCCATGGCTCATGGTATTTTGATTTGGAGCTTTTGGGCGATTTGGGGCCCTGAGCTCTAGATCTTCCAAAACTTCGAATCAAATTCCAAATTTGGTGGATCTCACCTCACCACTTGCTGCTTCTTTCGTGATTCTCTCCGGTCAAAGACAACTATATGTTGTCACCCCTACAAAGGTCTGGTATCTCTTCATAATGGTGTTTACAACACCTGACCTTTTTGGTTACAGCTTGGTTCTGGGCATTTAGATGCCCTTTGTGTGTTTGGTACCGGCTGAGGGGTAGAAATGTGGCGTTCGGTATTGGTGTGGTTTCATTAGATCTGAAGATTTGGCACTTTTTCCCCAACAGAGTGACTACGATGGGTTCGTGCCGTGCACCTTGCGGTGGTATCTTCACCGATTCGGCCGCGTACGCGGCGGCGAAGTTCTGTTTAGGATTTTTAGGTTATTTTGTGTGGTCACTTTTGGGCCTTCACCTTTGAACCTTAGCTATTGGAATTCTATGAAATTTTTCCTATATAGGAACCTTTACTTATGCACTACGTGCATATACGGCATCCTGTCTGTACTGTCCCCTTTTTTGGGCTGTTTTTTTTCTCGCTTTTACTTCTTTGTAATTTGTTGCGCGAGTCTTTGTTAAAAAAATTCCCTTTGACCAAAAGAAAATTCACTATAAAGATCATTTTTACAAAAGTAAATTAAAAATAAGATTGCTAATTAATCTATTATAATGAATACATAAATAATTAGTATTACTTTTATCATTTTTGTAATACATTTTTATGAAGTTATGTGACTAAACAATTTTAGTTGTAATAAATATTTTGCAAAGCGGATTTTATATAAATGATATATATAAAGTGAGAGCTTCAAAACGGTGGTGATGTATTCTAAAATATTAAGAATATTCCTATGTTTTCTTCAAAATCAAAATAAAAAAAAAATTGTATAAATTTGATAGTGAAATTTTTTGAGTATTCTAACAAAGTCCACTTTACTTTTAGGGGTGTGTTATCCATACATCCTATTTTACTTCATACACACCTCTTGATAATTTATGTTCGTTGATCTTTTTCAATTCATCTGATCCGACGATCGAATATTAAAAAGATACGTGAGAAGTAAAATGATGTACTTTTATAAAGTTAGGGTTTTGGTGGAAAATGATAAAAAACGCTTTGTATTCTCGGGAGATGCTAATGTGAGCCATACCCAGCGCGCACTTTAAAAAGATTTTTGTAAACCGTACAGAGAACATTGTACATAACCGACCAAAGTTGGATTGAAGGTAGCGACTTCGTAAAAACATTGGATTCAATTGAGTTCTATCACTTCCCACGACTAGTGACACATCACATTACACCCCCTTTCTGCTTTCGCGCGTGTTCACACGTTTGCTTTATTGATTAGACTTAAGGGTGTGTTATTCACTTTTTCTTTTTCTGCTTTTTAATCAAAATAGTATTTTGAGATTTGCATAACTAATCACTTTGGTCTTTGAGATTTGAAATCAATAAAATTGGTCATTGAGTTTATCTACCATCAATCATTTAATCATTTCTTGAAAAATCTCCATTAAATAAGAATAGAATGACCAAAATACCCTTATTTTTTTGTCAAATCATTTTGGTCTATTATTTATTAAATTGAGAGTATATTTGTCATTTTGATCCTTATTTAACATAATTTTGCACGGAATGACCAAAATGATTGATGGTGTACAATCTCAGGAACCAAGTTCAAATGTCAATGACCATTTTGATGAAAAAGCCGTTTTTTAATTTTTACACAATATTTCTGTTATCGGATCAAATGAAGTAAAAAAATCAAATTCAGTCACTGGATCAAATGACGTAAAAAAATCAAATGACATAAATTATGGAAGTAAACGTGAGTGTTTAGATAGTACAATTTGGACATGGATCAGGATTCATGCGAGGATCCATGCATCCTAATCCTAGGGATTCATCAAATTTGGACCATTGAAATTTGATCTAATGGTTACAAACAAGAGCTCACTTTAAAAATTATAATAACTTTAACTGTTGAATCAAATTTCAATGCCTCAGATTGATGGATCCTTAGGATTAGGATGTATGGATCCGCACGTACAATTTTAAACTTAAAGTGTGCGTCGACGCATCGTATTGTAAAAATAAAGAAAAATTAATGCAAAGGATTTGAAAATTTTGAATTTTAATCAAAATGATCAAAAAAATGTTGTAAATGAATAGTATCAAAATAATTTTTTAAAGTAAAAATATTATTTTTAGTTAAAAGGGAACACTACAATTAAAATAACGCATTGGATGGGTAGTTGCGCGAAAGACGATGCGAGTGCGACGAGTCGTAGGCAAACCAGATCTGCGGGGTCGTATGAGGTGGTAAAAGCAAATCTAGTGGCGACAAATAATATTAATGGGACCCGAGCGGGACCGGAGAGGAGCGCCCTCGATGCGAGGGGTGGGTGGGGTATGCAAATACGACAAGTGGGATACTGACGAGGCAATGCGTTGTCTGCCATCCATGGCACACTCATAGATGACACATGTACACTTATAGATGGCTCACTGTGCTATTAAAATAAAAATCCTTCGCTCCTTCTTAAGATACTTCGTGAGATTCAATACATTTCATGCGTATGGTCAAAATTATTCGTGTTACAAATATCTATTCGAAGGTATGGAAGAAAAAGTTAAATAAATGTCGTTTAGTCAATTGTTTCAAAAAATAAACAGACAGTTTGTAAATAATTTATGTATCCGATTTTTTATTTTATTTAATTTAATGACTAAGCGATATCATATTTTATTGTTTTTCGCACAAATAATCTTAACAAAGTATTTATAATATAAAATTTTATACTCATTACACGAAATTTTGTAAATTAATTATAGAACATCTTGAATAATCTTCTTGATCCATTGATAAAATTTAAAAGAGAAATGCAAATTAGATTCTCTCAAAAGTAGGGACTCTTTATTGATTCTCTATTGCTTTATATTTTTGGCACGATATTTTATAATGAACTTTGAAGTGACAGATAATCCATAAAGAATTTCTTATTATTTCTCAATTTACAATTCGGACTTTAGGATAAAATATCCATATAGGTCATTTTCTTCATATACATACTTGTGTATATTATAAGATGATATAGAATGGTTGTTTGATGTCATGGGGAATGGTGTTGTGATATGATGAGAGGTAAGATATTGTGGGATGGGGTCATATGCATCATGCATGGGGACCATGGATAGGCATATTTGAGATGACAAGGACAAAGGATGCAGTGGTGGCATCGTTTCTATCTCTGCATAACATGGTCGTATGCATCATGCATGGGGACCATGGATAGACATATTTGAGATGACAAGGACACGGATACAGTGGTGGGAAAAGAGATCATCTTTAGATTCCTTCTACTTAATCCTCCTCATCAAACAATACAGACTCTTAAAATTTGATTAAACGGCTAAAAATACAGACCCACTTTAAAAGTAATAATAACTTTAGTCATTTGATCAAATTTCAGGAGCCCGAATTGTTTGATGAGGAAGATTAAGTTGAAGGGATTTGGAGCAGTGGTGGCATCATTTCTACCTTTGTATACCTTGGGGACCTGCGAAAATAATAAGTGGGTTCGCAATTTAGATTTCAGCATTTATAGCAAGAATAAATTTAGAATTAAATAATAATTACCTTTTATATTATTTAATTTACAAAATTCAGTCTATAAATTTACTCTCTCTAATATTTTTCGTTATGTAAACGACTCTATCGTAGTTAGTTCTTATTAGGTGTCACCTTCATCTTTTGTTATTCTATACTTGTTTGGTTCGCATTAGTCTGCTTAACCAATGATTGTATTAAGGTGTCGTTTGATTGTCATCTTGTTTTTAATCTTTTTTATTGTATTTTAAATTTTTATAAAATTGAAACCTTGTTTTGTAAGCAATTTTTAAAAAATGCAAAAATTTGTAACTCAAATTTTGAAAACTCAAAAAATTTATTTTATTTTATTTAATTTTTAATTTAATTTTTTTAAACTAAAATTAATTATTGAACAAATTTTCCATTTTCAAATAATTAAAACTTTGAAAATTATCCACTTACCCGTAAATTTTTTATTTTTACATTGTAGTTTTCCCTCTCCCATAACCCTCATTTCTTCAATGTATTTTCACTCCATCACTAACACAAAAAAAAATTTAAGAATTAAAAACCAAAACATTAATCAAACAGCCCCAAATATTACGAATGAGGGTCCTCTCTG